GTTATTTGCATACATAAAATTAAATAATAACATAATTCTTCCATAGATGTTTTAACAGAATTTTTATATGTTGATAAATCCATTAATACTTGAACAAATTCAAATAAACTATAGATTAAACATTCGAAACTTAAAGTTTCACCTATTTGAAATAAATAAATAAAATAAAAGTTTTCATCATGTTTTTTTTCTTCTCAAAATTTCTTTTTACCATCAGAATCAACAGATGCATCCATTTCTCCATGTTTATATACAACTGTTGCAACATAATTTTCTGTATTTGATGTTAAACATGTCCATACAGATTGTAATAGATTAGCAGCATCTTGTTGCATTAATTTTGGAAAACTTTTAAATAATAATGTTAAGGCACGTATAGTTTCTATACGACAACCAGTATCAGACATTAAAGATGAATCAGGTGCAATAAGAAAACGTTTAAATGCTTCACAATAAGGTGGTAAATATGGTAAAATATAACCAACAGATAAGATTCTATCACGTTCATTTATATCATGTACAAGTGAAACAAGTAATGTAAAAATTCCAATAGCACGTGTACGTATACGTAAACTAAATTCATTGGATACCATAAGACGATACATTTCAGGTAAAAGTAATGGAAGAACAAATGGTAATTGACGATCATCAAGATCACGAACAATTTCAGTTAATACACGAATTGAACCATGAATTAAAGATTTATTCGTTGTTTTTAATGATTCAATTAAAAATGGTAATAATTCTGGCCAAGATTCTGGACAATCCCATTCAGCTACAGCTGATATAACGCATGCAAGACCAACACGAAGTCGATGATTTGGTTCATTTAAACCATGTGGAAGAATACGACGTATCTGACTTTTTACCTAAAATATATTCATTATTATATCTTTTAGTTTACTACATAATTTTAAATAAAATAATATTACCTGTTCAGTAACTTCAGGTTCAACAAAATTTTCGATATCTCTTGTCCAATGTTTATTAACATATTTTCGAAGTAAAACACCAGCTAACTGTCGTATACTAATATCACGTGTATTATCAATAGATATTTCAGTTAATGCAAGTGTATATGTATCAAGTAATTCTAAAGCTTGTAATTGTGTTTGACCTTTTTCAATTAGTTGTTGATCAGGTGTTATAATCATTGTTAATGTTTGTTCAATCATTGAACGAAGATCTGCAGATGATTCCATTTCTTTTTCAAAGAAAATGATACTATATATAGATATATATATATAGATATATATCTACAAATATATATAGAATGTAAAAGGAGAACTTTTTCGAAATATTCGATAAGTGTTCAATAACCCTTCATAACAAATATCGAATAACCCCCTATATATCGACAACCATATAAAACTACCTAATATCAAACTAATCGTATAAACAACCAATAATCCTCATCGGCTAGTTGAATAAAAATTTTCTCGATTTCAAATAATTTCTATTTAATAATCGAAAATTGTTGAAATTGATTTAATAATTATCTAATAATAAATTCATGTAATAAAGAATTTTTCGTTTGATTTCTACCAATAATATTCTTCAAGGAAGGAAAATTTTCACAGATAGATAGCGTGAATTGCAATGAGTTTTTCTCGATGTATGTGGCGCTTTGAGTTAGCATTAAACTTTAGCCATAAATTTCGTTGTGTATAATAGGGGAGAGCACGAGTATAAAAGGAACATTTTTGCTGGAGAAATTTTCGTCAGACTCAATTACAAAACTGTAAAAGAGTCTAACCAAAATTTTTTAATTGAACAATTTAATGATAAATTCTTATATATACAGCTTTAACTCAAACGAATGAACTATGGCTGTAAACGATGTTGTAAGCCTTGAAAATTAATTTTCTTAAAGAAAAAACAAAATGAAAATAAAATGAAAATTTTCTTTTTGCTTTAGAAAAAAACTTATCAAGATATTATTAATGATGTTTGTACAACAGTACGTGAAGCACTTTCAGACGAAGGCTTCGATGATCATACTTTACAAGAACTTCGAACTGTATAGTTTTTCTAATAGAAAAAAATAAAATTTCATAATCTTTAATTTTCTTTCTTTTTTTTATTCTAGTTATGGTTACAACGATTAGAAAGTTCAAAAGCATTAGAACCATTATCAACATCAATTGTTGATCAAGCAACAAATCGAGAATTTCGACATCCAACACCCGGTGACACAAATAATTCTTCATCGTTCAATAATAAAACATCAACTGGAATTAAACAAATAAATAATCGTAATATACATTCAGCATCAAATGCTGCTGTAACTAATTTTAATTCAACTTATACATTAACAAATCATAATCCAGGAATGATATCAACAACGAATCCGGGTACAATACAATCCATTCGACCTAATAATTTTCCAATTAGACCACCCGTAAATGAATTTCTTTTGTTTATTATTGAAAAAATAATGTTCGTTCTTTATCTATCATAGAATCCAACAAATATTGGAAGTACTACAATGAAAACATCTAATCAATTAGATGGTGCAAATGATGAAATTATTCTTAAGAAGATTAATCGTCGTAAGAAAAAACCACAAATTATTGAAATTTCATTACAATTGGATGGAACAGGACCTCCTGTAATTATTATTTTTGCTATTCTATACTATTAATTACGTTTTTTTATATATTTCAAATAGGTTGGTGATGATGAAGATGAAGATGAAGACAGTGAATTAGGAGGAGTAAGATATTTGAAATTTTTTTACATAAAGAATAAAAGAAATCATCTGTTATGATTTTAGAATGATGTTGGAGAAGAACTAGATGATGATGATGATGAAGAGGGTAATGAAGAAGGAAGAGAAGATCCAAATCCACTTTGTTCAGATGATGATGTTAGTGATGCTGAACCAGATGAATTATTTGACACAGATAATGTTGTTGTATGTCAATATGATAAGATATCACGTACAAAAAATAAATGGCGATTTATTTTAAAAAGTGGTGTAATGAATATTGAAGGACGTGATTATGTATTTAGCAAAGCAACAGGTGACGCCGATTGGTAATATTATTCGGAAAGAAACAAAAAAAAAACAATGGATTTAATAAAAATGAAACATTATATATGGGGAAAATAACTTTTTTTTCCTTTTTTTTTCTTATTTTTTTTTGTTGTTGTTGTTGTTGTTGTTATTGTCCATTTTCTCTCTCTCTCTCAAATTTGCTAATATATATCTTCGGAAACAATATATATACATATATATGTGTGTGTGTCTAATGTCTTGGGTGTAAACATTTTTTCTTCTTCTTCTTCTTCTTTTTTTTTCTTTTGCCTTGTTCGGATCAGTTCTTGTATGTCGAAGTATATGTTCTTTCATTGTTGTCACGTACATACATTTATAAAAAGATTTATGTTTGTTTATTTATTATTTAGAAAAGAAACGAAAAACGAAATAAAACAAAAGTTGAGATGAGATATATTTAAATTAGTTTTCATTTTCACTCTAATAATAATTAATAACTATCGATTAATAGAAGATTTTATACATCATTATATTTTTTAATATGACTAATTCATTCTATATAAATAATTTCGTAATATTATTGCGTATGTACATATTAATTCGAGTGCATTTAAATTTATTGGACAAAAGACATAAGTTGTCTCATGTTATTTCTAGAAATTCAACCTTCATAGTTGAACGAAACATATATCATATGCTTAAATACTTTCTATACATATTAATACTATTTATAATCTATAGTTTTTTTTATTCATAATATAAATAAATTATAGATCAATATTCTATGACTACGTAACTTCAATTTTTCAATAGTATATTGTACCTTAGTTATCGTATATAAAGTCTTCCTATTATTTATATGTTAAAAATGAATTTTATAATATACATGACTATTTAATATTTAATGATATAGTAACTGGAATTGATTTTACCGGCAAAAAGTTTCTTTTTATTACCACATGTATGTGTCTTCTATGTATAGAAATATGATTTACATAAATTTTTTATTAATTATGAGGTTTAATACATTTGCTTTTATCAGATTAACAGATAAAGTTAACGCTATATCCTCATGTTTTTTTTTATTGTCGAAAATGTATGACTTAGTTTTTATGTTTTCAATTTGAAAGTACAATTATATATATAGATACATGCATAAAAAATCGGACTAATAAACAAAAAAAATGTGAAGAAAACTCGTTATGACGCAGGAAACAAAAGATAATAAGAAGAAAAGTATTTAAAAAAAAGGAGAGAGAGAAAGAGAAAAAGTAACAAAAATAGTGACTAGACAGACATATATATCTATTTCATCATCATCGTCGTATAAGATCATCATCAAATGGATTATTACCACGTTTTGGCGTGTTTATAACTGATTGTTGATGATTTTTATCTGGTGATTGAGCCTGAGCTACCATGGAATAACCATATGGCGAAAATGGATTTATGGGTTGATTACTTTGAACAAGAGCCGTTAAATTGGAACTAAATGCATTAGTAACAGGTGTTGTTGCATGATACGATTCATCCGAAATTGGAATGATGGATGATTTTGTTATTGGAAGAGAAACATCATTATGATCTAAGAAGGAAAAAATATATATGCAAACTTAGATATTTGATTAGTTAATTTACTATTCGTATTCATTGAATCAAATAATGATAACTTTGAAAGTTCATTTGTTGTTGATTGATAATATTCATTTTCTTCTGGGACTAAAAATCAAAAATATAAAGATTTAAAATTATAAAAAAAACAATTTTACTCGTATTTTTTAATGAATTTTTATATTTCGATTCTTGTATGGATGGTAAATCACTAGGTCCCAATGAATATTGTCTTTTAATTGCACCTATTGTTGTTTGTTTAAAATCATCTGAACGCATTGAAATACTACGAACAAATGCATCAGATTTGCTTCCTTTAGGTCGAGGTCGTTCAATAAGATTATTTTTTTGATTAGATGTATTTATATTTATATTCGATAATGAACATGGAATTGGTCCTATTAAAAATCAAATTACCATAAATTTTAAAAAAAAGAAGATGAATAGATAAACAAACCAGCAACAATAGCACTTTGAGGATCCATAATACGTTCAATAATTGATGTTGAACGAAATGAACCAAATTTTGTAAATGATGTACCATTTGGTGTATATTCAACAGAAACATTACAATCACGATCACGTCTTTGTTTACGTTCAAGACATACTTGAAAAGCACAACCAACTGAATGACTTAAACGTTCTCCCTAAAAACAATTTTGTTTTTGTAATTATTTTAATAATATATATTCATACTGTTTCTTTAATGGCAAGAAAACTATGGCAAAGCCATCGACGTGTTGTACCATCTCGACAAATATAAGCAAAACCATTTTCATGAAAACGATCAGGAGCACAAAATGAAACTTTTTCAATTGTTTGATCAACAATCAAACCCTTATTGGTTTCATCAACAACACGAAGAGCATCACCTGAGATATATAATATCGCTTTTACATGTTTGGCTTTTTGCTAAATAAAATTTATTTATTCAAAAAAATAAAGTCAAAAATTTTGTTATTTACATTTAATAAAGCTTGAATTGCTTGTTCACATACATGCATTCCACGAGATTCTTGTACTTCAACACTTCCAAGATACTAAAAGTGATTTTGTTTGCATATAAAAAATCTTTATTTTTTTTTTGTTTATCTTTACTTTCACATTAAAACTACAAGTACCATCTCGTACTGATTTATCGTCATCATGCCATTGTATTGGTTTCTTTTCATTTTTATTTGTATGATTATTAATTGTTTTATTTTCTTTCTTTTTATTATGAAAACTTAATGTTCGTCTTAAACGATCCATTTGTTGATGTTTTTTATGTTGTTTTAAAATCGTATTTGCTAAATCAGTTGGTAGATTTTCTACAAAACAAAAACAAAATTATTATGAAAACAAAATAAGAAAATAATAGACATGCAAAAAATTAATTAAACATGCAGCAATTAAGTTAATTCGAACATATATATTAGTAGAAAGCATTCAATCAAGAATTATATTTTGTTATCTTACCTGTTTTTAACGTTTGCGGCTGATGCCGATGTGAATGCTCAGCACCCATTTTTTTACTTAAAACTTTATAACAATAGAAAAGAAGATTTACTTTTTTTTGTTGTGGAATAGTAATGATTTTCTTTTTTTAGAATCAAAGATTTATTCTAATACTTACTGTATAAAATTGTTGTTATGTTATTATCATTGATTTTGAAGGAAAAAAAATGGAAAAACTCGTTTCTCTCTTGATAGCAAAAAAAAACAAAGAAGCTACACTCTTTACCGCTATGAAATATATGTGGCGCCTCAGTTGATTGATTCACATTGGATAAAAATGCATACAAATGATAGATATTTGTTTTCAGTCATTTCAGCTATTCTAGCCCAACACAATGACTGATGAAAATGGAACAAATATTAATGGTGAAATGGATAATTCTTCTCAAGTACCATTAAGTATTATATAATTAGATTTATCGATTTCTTTTTTTTTTCTATTCAAGCTTTTTTTTCATTGTTTAGAAATGATATTAGAAACAAGTAATAATTCAACAATTGAACGTAATGTTTATAATATTTTACGTAAGAATTTTCTCGAACAACGTTCAATAACATGGAAACCAATTAAAGTTGAATTAATTGTTAATACACAATTAACCGATGAATTTTTTGGTAATTATATTTTCTAGAAAGAAAACAAGTCTATTCTCTTTTATCTCTCGCTGTCATACAGTCAAGATCAATATATATATATCGAAAATATAGTATTTTTCTAGTTATCCATCTTAACAAAAATTTGAAATTGGTCGGTTAAAATTCTCGTTGTGAAAATAAATACTAATCTAATCCTTTCTTTTTTTTCTTTGCATGCTTTCTTTTTTTTTGTCTGTAGAATATATATATATATATATCTTTTTTTGCCAAACAATTTTTCTCATTCGATTTTTATTTACCATGCACAGAAGATAATACAATATGCATGAGACAAAAAAAAACAACTATTGTTTATTCAACCAATGACTAATTCTCTTCTTTTTTTTTCTTTCATTGCTTTTCTTATAGGTCTTTTGCATGTATGTTGTGTTGTCCTATCTAAATCCAAACGGTTTCAAAACTACATGTAAATGTCAGCAGTAGCATGTTATAAGAAATTTTCCTATTGATTTGCTGCTTGTTGATATTTCTACTATATATATATAAGATAAGAATTTTTGAAAAACGACAATATTGCAAAAAAAAATAGTTCCCCTCTATACCTCTCTCATAACTAATAATGGTGTCTGATAATGATGATAATATATGCTTGCTTTATCTTTGCTAATTTAGTTCTATTTATGAAAATATGAAATGATTTATTTTTATTTTTATTTTTCTCTTGTGTTTTATAGCTATACGAAAAAAATTTGAAAAAGCTGCTGCTGGTAATCGTTGTGAATTCGATGAACGCTATGCTTTTTTAATAGAAAATGATACACAAGTACTTGATATATGTCAAAATGGTTATCATTGTACGGAAACATCATTCAATGTTCTAGGTAGGTAGATATATATATTTTATGTCTAAAAACATTATTCTTTAATTTTTAAAGAAAATATAGAAAAAGAGAATATATATTTAGTAAAATTCTTCTATGTGTGAATATATATACTTGCTTAATTTGTTCTTTATCCCAATACTATATACATATATTATCTAGTGTGTAAAATTTGCTAATTCTTATCCGTAAGTATCTATATCACTATTATTGATGTAGATCGCTCTATTTCTATCACATACCAATTTATTTTTATTATCTATATATATCGTTCTAAATGGTTGTTGAATAATTGCGCTGCTCTTTATATCTCGGTTATATGTTTTTTATTGAATTATTACAAAATTCTCACATTGCATCATCATCATCATATTAATTCTAATTCTATTTTTACTAATCTTTAGAAAATAGTAGTATTTTCGTATTTATTCAAATTCCTGTGTTTTTATTGTGCGTTTACACTTTCTCTTTTTCTATTCTTAAGCACTATCAATACATTTGATTGTATATGCACATTATTCACTTGTATTTCCTACTAACTCTAAACTGATGATTCGCGATAAAAAAAACAAATTTTGATAGAATTTGCTTGCATGTCATTTCTTTTTTCTAAATTGGTAAACAGATCTTCTTCTATACACATTTGCATGGGGCTTTATTATTTTATTTGTGTTCTTTTTCTTTTAATTTTGTATAGAAATATCTGTTCTTTTTTTCTTCTAAATTTGATATTTGTGTGTCTTAGTTATTCGTATAGGGGATGATCCAAAAATATTCTTATTATACAAATGGAATATGTATATAAATATATAAAAACAAACAATAACGTGAGTTTGGAGCAATGATAAATACTCGAGCTTATTTCTCTTGTCCCTCCACCTATGTCAGCCGTCATTTGCATACACAAAATATATTTTTTTTTTATGTAAATATATCTCACTTATATTCTGTTCGCATTATTTAGCTTGCGTTTTTTGAAGTCTACTGTTGTGATTTGATGTATCTTCATAAGTTTGAAAATAATTGAAATTCATCGTAGAAAACAAATATAGAGAGTTATGAGTTAGTTTTCATATACGTAAGTATACTTCTCTTTTTTTTATTTATGTTGTAATTACATATTGTATGAATATAAATTAATAACATTATGTTTGAAAAATATTATCCTTTTAAATCAATTTAAATATTATATTGGCACGAATATTTGTTTTTCTTTTGTTAAATTATTAATTGTCATAAATCACAAGCTAATATTTTTATTTTTTAAGTAATATATATAATCATAATCATATTTTTTCTTCTCTTTCATTTTCTTTCTGCATGTTCTTTCTACATACATATTTTCAAGTTGAGTGAATATGCAATGATTTGAATCTATATTTTCTGTCATTTTATAGTTCCATAATTATCGTTGTTTTGTTTTCTGTTTGGATGTATGCCGTTAGAGTTTATTTATTCTATAGTCGTTATTACAATATGATTTAATATTTTTAGGACATAGCAAATATGGTATATACGTTTGCAGATATGCTGATGTATGTATTCGACATGCGAGTGTTCGACGAACATGGGAAGGTAATGTGGTTATTAAAATGATTATGTTCAAGGTTAGTTTAATAAGAAAATAAAGATGAATTTTGATTTTATTTCTTTTTTGTTTATTAGATTGTTGAAGGAAAACAAACAGCAGCTCTTGTTCGAAAAGGACCAAAATTACAACCGATTGCACCTACAGCTCAATTTACTAGTCATTGTTCAGTCATTACACCAAAAGAAACGGATGATCTTGAAAAACAATTTGATCAATCACAGGTAAAATAAAGGATGAATTTAATATTTTCTAATAAAGAACTTTTGATGTTTTTAGATATTTCTTTATGAATTTGAAGGTCGAGAAACAATTAAACGACCACATCATTGTTTACCATATGCTATTATTAGTCTGATACAAGATGGTTTGTTTACTGGATTATTTTGATTATGATAAAAAAGATTTTGTTTTCAAATTTAGGAAGTCAATGGCCAGCCAATTTTGAGGATTTAGATTCAGAACCAGACGTATTAGAAACAGATACATTACGAGTTATTGGACAAACTAATGATCCATTATTGCAAAATAAATTAAAAGAAAATATTGAATTAGCTGAAGCAGCTACACGTGCTCTTGAACATATTTATGAAGAAGAACCACCTCCACCACCACCGCCAGCACCAATCATTGAGCAAGTATCTTCACCAAAAATAGATTCAGAAACAATTTCTACAACAACTATATCTGACTCTACATCTACTCCTGTTATGAATGGAACAGGACCAGCAGCACCATCACCAATAGTATCTAATGATGATCCATCAATAGCATCATCACCTAATAATGGAGTTTCCATAAATAATAATGAAGTTCTAGTAAATTCTACAATACCACCTCCACCACCACCACCTCCTTCAACATCATCGGATTCAACAAGTCCACATACTGTAACTCCGGCTACAGCTGTAGCTACTACTCTACCATTAGCACATTCAGCAGCAGCTATTCAAGCTGCTTATCGACAAACTAGTCTTCTTGGTGCACTACCAGCTGCAACAGCAATTCGAACACCATCAGGTGCTCTCTATGCCACAACAGGTGGTCTTACTAATGGTCTTACTGGACAAGTTATGTACGGAGGTAAATTAAATTTTGATAAAATACTTTCTTATATGTTAATTGATTTTCTTATGATTTGTTCTAGGTATTTCTTTAGATGCGCTTCGTGGTTATCAAACAGCAGCTGCAAATAGTCAATTTGCATTTGCTACACATGCTGGTCAAACTATACAACAACCAGCACTTTATGCTGCTCAATTACAAGCCATAGCTCAACAACAGCAATTAGCTGCTGTTGCAGCACAACAGCAACAGCAACAACAACAACAACAGAATTTAATCAATAGTATTCCTGCTGGTTATACACTTGTAAGAACAGCTGGTGGTGGTTATGCTTTACTTGCTCAAAGTCCAGCAGCTACTAATGCAGCAATGCAATCACAAGCACAAGCACAACTTGCTCAACAACAACAACAACAGCAACAGCAATATATTTCTTTCAATGCAGCAGGTCAACCAACAGCTACTACAGCACGTCTTCCTATTGGTATGGTTGGTGGACAACAACAACAACAACAAGTCGTTTATCAATATGCTGGACAACCAACTATACAAGCAGGTCCAACACAATATATTCAATTACCAGCTAATTATGCACAACAACAAGGATTATCAACAAGTCCTGTTATGCAAACACCAAATTCATCTACTCAACAAGGTTAGTTTCTTTTTCATATTATTCTTATCGGTGAATTAAATTTTATTTAATTTTAGCTTATATAAGTCAACCACCAACTCATTACATTAGTGCATCACAATCAGCTAATGCTAATAATTCAAATGGTTCTTCAGCAAACTCACCTTCTGTTGTTTCATCATCATCAGTAGTTCAATCACAGCCAACATCATCAATCATTTCACCACAAAAACAAAGTGCTGCTTCAGCTACAGCTGCTGCTATTCAACAACAACAACAATATCAACATGCATATCATTCACAACAGCAACAAGCACAACAACAAGCACAGCAACAGCAATCAGCTAATGGTGTTTCTGCTAATAATAATCTCTATTATACCGCAATGGCACAAGCACAAGCACAACAACAGCAACAACTTAATTTATTATCTCAGGTAAAAAATGAGATTTTCCTATTAGACAATATACTAAATAATGCATATATTTCTATTTCATCTAATTAGATGCAATATGGTCAACAAGGTATTCCACAACAAATGTTTTATACAACAACTGGTGGTCAAGCTATTTATCAAGCTGGTGGACAAAGTTATATTCTTGCTCAAGCTGCTCCTGCATCAGGATCAGCTACTACTACTGGAGCTCCAGTTATGTATTCAGCAGGTGCTGCACTTCACAATGGTACAGCACAACAACATCCATCACAATCTCAACAACAAATAGCCTATCAAATTGCTGCTAGTGGTCAACCAACTGGTGCAACTTATCAAATGATTAATACAGCATCAAATTCAAATGTTACTGCACAACAACAATCAACAGCAGGTGCTGGTGTTGTTGCACAACAACCTGCTCAACTTGTGCAACGTTCAAATATAATACCACAAGTCAGACATCATCCATATCGAAGTTAAAGAATCTTCTTTTTCTTTTTGCGATGTTTATTCTTCTTTCTTCTTGTTTATCTCTATTTGGTAACAGTAGAATACCTGTGCTTGTTTACTTCATATATATCCGAGAATTTCACTTTCTTGTGTCTTGTTCTAATTACGTTTGTTTTGATTCAATATATTCATTACACTTGTATATACACAAAATACATTCAACAAATTGCTTGAGATGCAATATTTCTCTTTATATTCATTAACACATATAATTTACGGAGACTAACAAAAAATCAATCTAATTCAATGAAATTATAAAATCTACTTTAATATCCTTGAATAAATAATCTCATGTCATGTAACTATAATTTTCAATATAATTAAATCCTATCTTAAGAATAAAATGACAGTATGGCCATTATTATTTCTAAATGTCATTTTGTAACCTTCAAGGTAATTAATTTCTTTCTATATGTTCAGAACAAATTTTTTGACATTTTCTATTCAATTATGTAATACATCTACATTATTCTTTTTTTTGTGCGATTTTATCGTAATTAATAATTTGTTTTAATCATAAAATTTCTATGATATTTAATTTTAAAAACCATCATGTTATGCAATACAGAAAAGAAATAAACAAAAAAAAGAAAAGAAAAGAAAACAATCATACACACATATAAATTTATAAAGGATGTAAATAAGATAAGTGTTGCACTCATTAAGTCCTCTGTGTATGAATAAATCCACATATTTACCAATGAAAACAAATCATAAATGAAATAAAAAGAACTAACTGTTAAAAAGTATGATTAAAAGAACTGTTCGCATATTTAAGAATAAATACAAATTGAATATGTCCATCACCGAATGAACAGTATCGAAACCGGTCATAAATGCTGATTTGGACGGATGGATATATTGAAGATACATAATATATATATATATAATGACATGACTATAGTTCTTTTGCATTTGATGTTAATGAATCTTTTATTGATGCAGATGACCATGCAGGATGTAAAGATTGTAAACGATTTTCTATTCGACTAGCTACTTTAATTAAATAAAACGCATGAATAAATAAAAGTAGAAGAAATATCAATATAAATGTTGTAGTTTTAAATGATAATATTTGTAAATGATGAAATAATGATGATAATTTTTGTGTAAATAGATTTATACAAGAAATAATTAACTTTAAAAGTTTTATTAGAATTCCATTCGATTGTGCATCTGATGTTGGTACATTTATATTTTGTATGGGAGTTGATGATAAATTTGAGTGAGATGTTGTTTGATTTGCTGATGTTGATAATCGATCTTGACTTTGACCTTGATGTGATCTTGATGCAGTAGGTTTTGATCGATAATTTATCACCGAATTATTTCCTATACGAGAAAATTAAATACAATCATTATCTTATACAATAAATGAGGTTAACCAGTGTTTTATCTAGATTTTTCGTTCCGAGAGTGCGATAGTGATTTTCGGGAGGGCGAAAATCTAATTTCTGTAGGGGAAATACATAGTACAGGCACAAAAATTGCAATTTTCGGGAGGGCGCCGCTATTCCTGCCCTCCCTCTAGATAAATCACTGAGGTTAGTTCAGTATAAAAATATTTTGAGTGTCGTATAAATATAATAAATCAAATTATATTTGAAATCTACAAATATTTATTCAGTTGGCATTTATTTTCTACGATATGTCATGTCCAAGGAAGGGGAAAAAATGTATCTGAGTCCTTACTGTGTTCGATTTCATTTTGTTTCCGTTCACTTTTTATAAAACGTGAATGTCGAATATTGTGAGTTGCATTTGATATATTATCATGTGAATTATTTGATAATTTCTGAGTAAGATTTTTGTCCGTTGTTTTTTTATTATGTGAATTCATGAAGAGTTTTGATGTTTGTTTTTCATTACTTGATTTTGTTGATAGAAGACTAATTGGTCGTTTATGATTATTTTTTAAATACATATCTATAGCATCATCTTGTTCAGGTTCATCAATAATATCATATGACTCACGTGGTGCACGAATATTATGATTTGTTGCTTTTAATGTACCATCATTAACAATATCATTTTCTTCATCATCATATGAACTTATATCATGTACATGTCGTGACCATATTGAATAGATTTTTTCATAAGCTTGATCACGTTGAAGAAATGATGCATAGATAAGTTTTTTTTCTGTACGTTTTAATTGTATACCAATAGCAGTTGGAAATATAAATGCGACACGTTCTTTTGAAACATCTTCAATGTGTTCCCAACGATGAACATGTTTTGTAACATAAGATATAATACGAGAATGAAAACAAAGATAACGATCAGTTATATACATCTTTCCTTGTAATAATATATCACCTTGATAAGCACATACATAAGAATCAATTAATTCTGGCATATCATCATTTAATTCAGATTTAAATAATTTATAAAAATGTTTTTCACGTCTTGATAATTGTTCTTGACTATTACTATCGTTTTTTTGTGATTGAATTGGTTGATTATCATCTTGTTCACTTTCAATATCACTATCAGTTGTTGTTGATAATGTTGTTGTTGTTCGTAAGAAATTTTGTGTTGAAGAATTATTATCATTATTAGTTGAATTCATATTTGCAGCATTTGAACTATCGACAGATGACGATGATGAACGTCCATGTTTAGGTGCAGGTCGTTTTTTAGATACTTTTGCTGTATTAATAGCTTCCTCATTTATTATTAATGATAAAGGTCGAGAACCGGCCATTTCAACAAAATCTATAATAGAAAAAGAAAAAGAAATTTTTTTATAAACGACTTTTTGACCGAGATTAAGAATAAAAATTATATATCTTGCATTTTTTTCTGTTTTTAAATAATAAAAATAGCAGAATGTTTTTGTTTGCTATTGATATTATTAATGAACGTTAAAAAAAAAGAAAAATATTGACTAAAACTAGTCATCTCATGTTTTTATGTGACGATTCTTCAATTACTACTTTATACAACACAGTAAGTGCGAATATAACGCCACCAATCAGCATTAAACGACAACGTCACCCCATATTCTTCTTCTGTTCTTCTACGCGTGTTCTCTTAAAAACAGCAGAAAAGAATGCATTCTACCTGCCTTGTTTTACGTTCGATAATTTCTATTTTTCTTTTTAAATTTACGTCAATATTTATAACGGAAAAAAACACAGAAGTTCGAAGGCTGATTACTCAGTTTACTCGATAAAACTCTGAGGACGAGTAAATCTTGAACCAGCCGTTATTAAAGTACGAGTTGGATGCTAGGGTCAAATTGAAAAATAAATGTCATTAACTGATGAATGTATATATTTACAGTTCACTTATATATAATAATTAAAGACTGGTGAGATATTTTATAGATTACTCATTAGATCTGTTCGAAATACCACTACATTTACTCGTTATTCACTAAGTCGATATATTACTAAGAATTATCTATTTGATTTATGACCGAACTTCGAAGATAAAATAATCAGTTGAAGTAATGTCTAAAAATAATTTAATGACGTATCAGCTGTAATAAACAAGAGAAGCCGCAGTATATATATTTCTACTACAGATGAGTAACATACTTCAAGAGTAATATCGAAAGATTTATAGATGGTTACTTTGCGCAAAATGATTTAAATACCTACATAATTCCTCTAGTAAAAAGAAGAAATGATGAGATTTAGTAACTTTATTAATATAAAACATAAGAAATTTTAATTCTCATTGAAATAACTTAACATTCTATACTGTCCATTTCAATTATAACTTATTACATACTCATTCTGATGATATATAAGACAAATTACATACCTGTTTTTAATGTTTAATAAGAAAATGACAATATGTCTGATTGGTAAGTATTTTGTATACAATCATAATAATAAACAACGTAAAATATTCGGTTGTATAAACATATCGTACTTAATCAATCGCTACACTTCAATGGGTACACTGAAAAATACCTACTGCGTCATTTCCTTTTCAAAATTGATATAAATCATGTTGATTTATCGAAAAATTCAAGTAGACTAAAAATAAATCCAATATTTTATTTCTTACTTTATAAAATGAAAAAAAACTATTAAATTTTGTTTTAAAAAACTTCATATGCATCAGTTTCTATGTGTGTCATTGGTATTTATAAATGTAAGTCAGAAAAAATAAAATTAATTTTTTTTCTTTCAAAAGTATTTCATCACAGAAAAAACTGTGTCTCTTTATTTACTAAAAGGATTTTTTCCTCTTTGCGTACATTCAAAAGAGTTGCCATTAGATATGCATGAAATAGAAAGGAAATAATTACTTTTACTTTTCTTTAGTTGGAGAAAAATAAGTAAGAAAAATAATATACAACTGTTGTTTTGTGTATTAATTTAATCTAATACCAAAGTAAATTTATAATTTTCATACATGATTCAAACAATGTAGGTATCTAAACAGACTAGAAGAAGAAGAAAAGTTTATTCGGTGTAAAAAATATGACTTAAAGATAATGAGTAAACTGAGATAGTCAGAGTAAATATATACATTTAGTTTATACACAAGTTCATTCGTTACTAATAGTATGTGAGACAAAAAAACGAAGAGAGATACATACATACCATCAAAAGTTCAATTGTTTGTGTCTACACGAAATCTATTTAAAAAAAAAAGATGTCGTTATATGATAGAGATGTTATTTTAAAAATCTTTTTATAATATTACTAAAGACAGATATATATGCTATAATCAAAATTTAAATTCTAATTCTATGAAAATAAAATGACAGTATTATTTTGATGACTTATAATTCTACGAAAAAAAAAAATATGTAACGATAAAAACACAAATATGAATAAAAATGAAGGTGAGGTAAAGGAAAAATATCTAAGTTAGGTACAGTACAAGGCACTAATTTTAAATAATTATCAATGTGGTTATTCGCATTTATGACTCCCACTGTGTCATATTACTTATATATTTAATACATATTTTGTAATTACTATTCTGTTATGAAATAACTTGTTGAAGAGCGTACGTATTATACTTTGTTTTGTTGAGAAAACTAAATATACCAACGTCGATGAAATGTCATTAGAAGCCACCAAAATAAACTTTGTTAGAAAATACATGCAAAGTAGTCAAGTATTGTTATTTTAATGATTCATTAATGAAACCAAAAAAGACCGTTGCTGTTGTTATTGTTATTGTTGTTGAGAACAAAGAATATTTAAATAAAGCGAAATACGTCTTATGTGAGACGTCATTGCTTACGTAGATGTTATGAATTCTACGTCAACGTTGTCAATCAAGTTTTTTTTAACTAACAACAGTAACTTTATAATAAATTCCATATGTCGTATATTGTTGATAGAATGTTTCTTTTGAAAGCAGACATTGTTGACAAAGTGTTTTCACCGAAAATAGGATCTAAAAAAAAAGTTTATTGATTTTAGTATGTTGATTTGGTTTTTAATAATAAAGGATAAATCATACAAATATTTACAGAGCAGTTTATTAATAAATGCAAAACATATGAATACGAAAAAGTACTTGACAAATGACGATAAAGAATAATATAATGCATTTTCTTTTAGATATTGAAAATAAAAAAACTGCCTTTTTTTATTGTTTTAAACAACTAGTGGATACGTTATGTTTATATGAAAAATAGAAAATACAATTTTCGGAAAGTTACTATTCACTGAGCCATACTTGTTTTTTTTTATTACTATGGATGCTATTTATATCGAAAGAAAATGCATATGTCTATTAGTTAATTAAGTTTGAGAGCAATAAAGTTGATCAAAATATTTTTTGACACACATACCCAAATAATTATGAATTTTGATGAGTCTTATTAATAATTCAAACACAACATTATCCTACTCTCATGTTTCGTTTTTCTAAGTATTTCTCCAAATTTCAATAATCGGATGCCATCAAGAAAATAACAGTATAGTACGAAGTACAAAAGGTATTGTCCAGTATAAAAAAATATTTCTATATCAATCTTTTCTTCATTGATTATTGATAGAGAAAGTAGAAAACTATCAGTTTATGTAATTATACTCTTTTCAGAAAGAACAATATAATCCTGATTGAATCAGTCGAAATGAAGAAGATAATAGTTCTTTATAAATGAATACAGATTTATGAATATAGAGTGATTTTGTAGACGATTTAATTGATAATCCTTTTAGACTTCACTCGTCTGAGTAATCTTTGTCTGCTGTTTTTAGAAGGATATATAAATTATAATGTAAAAGAATAACATTCTGTCATGTTTAGTCAAACCAATATATAAATAGTTATAATAAATCACACTTAATTTATTAGAGTACATGAAAAATTATATTTATATTTAAATTTTGATGTCTGATATATTTATTTCTAAAAAAAACTGTTTTTATCTATGTTTGTTAAAATTCAATATTACACCTGTTTAACATATACAAGAATATATGCATTCTTTGTTACAATATCTTTTTCATCTGTAATTTCGCGAATTCTATCATCATTGAATGAATACCATCTTTTATTTCCATCATTTTTTGCATAAGTAATATAATGTCCACCAATAAGAGTACCCGTATGATTAGATACGGCGACAAGATCGTATAATGCCACTATATCGGTCTTTGTCTCACTATTTTGAATAATATATTGACTAAGATCAAGATTTATAAGTGGAAAATTAATGTACGTATCGATTTTTCTATCGGAGTAAGTATCATATGTAAATCGCTTCAATTGTATAATTAATACACGTGGTAATGGTAAAGCCAAATCAGCCTTTTGTGTGGCTTTTCTCAAACCATGACATTGTGAACAATAATAATCACCATTTATTGGTTCTTCACGAAAGAACTCTACGAGTAAACTATCTAATGATGAATTGTCTATCGAACGATCAAAATTGTAAAGATGTTTATATTTTTGAATCCATTGATAATCTATTTCCATAGTAATATAATCCATAAATAAAAAAGTATCGTTTGTATCCTTTTCAGACTTTAATGGACGAATTTCATTATATTCATTGATCCAATAGAGATGTTTAACTACGTTAATTGATGCATCAGTAATCGAACAAAAATGATTTTGGATCTGATTGATTTGCTGAGATAGATCACGATAACGGCATTCCCACTGTGGACCAACGATAAAGATTGGCGGACGAAATGGTTCACCTGTTTCTCGATCAAGAAACAAAAACTGAATATATCGTTGATCAACAGTCTTTTCTGGAAGCTCGATAAAAGTTAACTGGTCTATATTTATATCATTAAGTGACACGTACAGTGGCAGTGTTTTTCTAATTTTATTGTTGACTATTCTAACAATTCTAATTCGTTGTAATGAAAAGTTTGGTTCATATTGATCAATGAATAAACTAACTAATTTATCGAGTGTTGTTGCACAAGTACGAATAGATATGAAACGTTGTTCACCATTGCTTCGAAGATACAGAATATTATATTGATTGCTTTCATTTTCGATGGGTAATGGAAGAAAACTAATCTGCTCTTCATTAGTTTCTGAATGACAACAATCATCTAAGCATTTAACACTTGATTGAATTCCACCATAAAACAAATTAGTAATTAATGTACTTTCATCGGTAAATTCTTGATGAATTAAATGTAGAAAATAATTCATAAATTCTTGTGCATCTTGCTGTTTGTATCGTGGAAAACGTGGTAAATTATCACGAATATTCAATAATAAAGATGATGGAGTAGTAACAACATAATCACCTGACCACATAGTTTTAATTAAAGCAGCATAAGCACCAATGATTGGTGCATTCATTTCATTACCAAATGAAAGAACTTTTCGAGTAAATTCAGGTATATTACTTAAACATTGAAGAGCACTATTCATAAAACATGTATTACCTAAATTTGTCAGACCACATACACCTGGAACAGGATCATCTTCTGTCTCAAAACTTATTATTGAATATTGCTCAAATTCTGAATCATATAGAGTCAAATCATCAAGTTCTGTATCGAATTTAATCCAATTATCATCTTTCCACAAATATAAATAATTTGTTTTTGTAGCCATAACTTTTTTTCGTGCTTCTTCTTTCAGTTGATCAATAGTTATCATTGAATCCGTGGTAAGAATAACGTATTTAGATTTATCCATGGGTTGTTTACAAAGTTTTAATGTCAGATTACTAGTTCTAATTTTTGATATATGTTGATCGTCTGTATTTGTTTCTTCACGTTTCTCGATGTTCATAATAGAATATGATGGAAGATGTAAATTACTGATTCTATTGTGCATATCTATATCATTAATAGGTACCCAAACATCGTCTTTATCATCAAATCTGGTCAACGAGAAATCTGCAACCTCCATTGTTAATTGAAGTTGTCTACATATTTCTTCTTTCAATTGCTCCAATGTTTTATCATCTGATATTGAAATATACCTCATATTTTCTCGGTTTCGATTTGTTTGACATACTCGAAAAGAAACATATTTCCGAGTTGAATGTAATTTTGGTACCACTGATAATGAATCTCGTTGTTCAGAGTAATCTGACGTGTTGTATACATGTCTGGAAGAGGTATATCGATTGTAAACGAAAGTTTGAGAGTGATTCATTCTATGTAAGATAATGTTATATTTTATTGAATAGAAAAAAATAGTTTAACTCACAAAGAATTGTACGAACATACAAATAAAAACTAAACAATAAATCTGAAATATAGGAAAAAATGATTAATATTTTTTTACACGCGTGCATCCTTCTCATTTTTTAAATACACTAAAACATAAGCATTTCGATTTACAAGACAGTTATTAGAAATAGGTTCAAAACAAGAATCATTGAATGAATACCACTGCTTAGTGTCATTCGAACATGCATATGTTGTATAATGCCCTTGTCTCAAATTACCGACATGCATAGAAATAGCAACAAGATCGTAAAGTGAATTATCATCGTTTAAAACTTTCCAATTCTCAAGTGGATATTTGACTAATGCATTTAGTTTTTCATTTGTTTCATCGAAAGTGAATCTTTTGAGTTGTACGATGATTACCGGTGGTAATGGATGACAAATGTTGGTTTTCTGTGTAGCAGATCGAAGTTCTCGACAATTTGAACAGTAATATTGTCCATCAAGTAGTTCTTCTTTCAAAAAATCATCCACTAATGTATTCAAAGATACTTCTGATTCATTTCCAAGTGATAAAGGTAAACAATAAGTTGTCTCTTCATTTGCATCACGAGTACTGCATTCCAAGCAAGTTACTGCAGATTCTGTTCGAATGCGAAATAGATCAGTAACAATAGATGATTGTTCTTTTAATGAGTTGTTTTGCTTGAACTCAGAATGAAGTGCATTGAGTAAAGAATTCATAAATTCATGTGAATCTTTTTGAGCATAATCCCCAAAGATTGAATTATGTCGACTGACACGTTGTTTGATATTATGAGGGGTGACACATGAATTTTCACCTGACCACATTGATTTTATCAATGTAGTGTACGCCTGTGTAACAGTTATTTGATCAGATGATGACTCTTGTATTTGAGCCCATTCGGTAAATTTGGGTATATTACTTAAACATTGAATAGCACTATTCATGTAACATGTATTGCCGATGTTGGTTAAACCGCATAGACCAGGTTTGTAAGATTGCTGTTGGTGTTTCTTTCTTTTCTTTTTATTCTCGGAAGTAATCGGCGGTAAAATATCAGTTTTATTACGTTTGAGCGTCTCAACTAGAGGATAAGATATAGATACTGGTGATGACCATGGAATAATTGCAACTAATTGTAGATAACGAATAAAAATAAGAAGAACAGAATCAGTACATTGTGCTTCAAAAGAGTTCGAGGAAGTATCAGAGGCTTGTATACAATCAATATCAATTGATGCACTGCCTTCAGACTGTTCCGATATATCGTTAGATAATGATTTTATAAGTAGACGTATATAATATTGATCTATGTCAAATGAGATTTTATCAAGAAATGTATTATCTCCACACAGTAAACTTACCAAAATCATCCCATTGATATAAACTTAGAGAAGGCGATATAACAATATATAGTTTCATATTATCTTCATTCCTATCATAGAGGCAAACACGATCATATTTCTTGTTATTGTACTGCAAAGCAAGTTGTTGTGTGTGTAGTCTTTCTGTTAAAATCATCTAAAATAAACATTCGATAGAATCAAATTACTATTTAAATACTTAGAATCTTTCAGCTATTATTTCTTTAAATAAATAAGTATATACGCTTGTTGCGCTTTAAAGGAAGTTAAAATGTTTTCTGGATTAATTGTTTTCACATATCTATCATCGAATAGATACCATTGAGCATTTTTATAATTTCGTGCTACTGTTGTATAATGTCCACCGGCTAAACTTCCACTATGCATTGAAATAGCATATAATTCGTATCGATCATTATCCGATAGTAAATTTTGATATTCAAGTTTGTATTGAACATATGTATTAATCTTTCTAGTTGTACCATCAAATGGAAATCGTTGAAGCTGAATAATGAGAGCACGAGGTAATGGTTGAATAATTGTAGTTTTATGTCGTGCCGATTGGCATGTTTCGCACTTTTGACAATAGTATTGCCCGTCTAATGAATCTTCTTGACAGAAATCTGAAATGAGATCTTCTAATAACACTTCAGCACTATCATGTAATTTCAACTGAGGAACTGGAAGTGGTAGGAATGTACTTGTTTCTTCAATACTATCATGATGTTGACATTTATCACAAGTAGTTTCTGATTGAGTATGAATTTGAAAGAGATCCATAAAGAATGAAGTTGAATCGACTGTTTGTAGTTCAGTAAGCAAAACGTTCATAAATTCATGAGAATCCTTCTGGCCATAATTAGAAAATATTGGAGCTAAACGGCCGATGTAACCTTTCAGTTCCTGAGGAGTAACATATGTATGATGACCTGACCACATTGATTGTACTAGAGAAGCATAAACATCGATTATATTCTTGAAAGTTGATAATCGTGGTTGATTCATAGCCCATTCGACTATATATGATATACTATTTAAACATTGTACAGCACTATTCATGTAACAAGTATTGCCAATATTATTTAGACCGCAGACACCTGGAATATCGCGTGTCGACAAAAGACTCGAATCATTTGTAGATGCTTTTAAATGATTTGATGGAGACGATAGGTTTGGTTTTAATATCAAACTTGAAGTATTGTTTAAATCTATGTTCTTAAAATGAAATGGAACAGAATCAATTCGACTATCCATATCATGTACATTGGTTGCTATTAATTTAGATGTAGAGACAGATATAATTGGTAGCGAATATTCTTCACTATGTTCTAAAACAAAGTTTGTTTTTTACAAAATATTTTAATAATAATAAATTATGTAAGTGTTTATATAAATCTTAAGAGACATTGAATAGGTTTTACTTACTTAACTGTGTTGTCTGTCTTTTAGGTTTTAGATTGCAAATCCTTGGTAATCTACTACCATCATATCTTTCAGAGAAGGTTGTATTCCGATTTATAATATTATCATCTAAATTAATTGTTGTGACAGGACGCTTTATTGATGGTTTAATATTATCGGAACGCTTAAATGAAAGCGGCTTGACTAATGGTAGTTTATTTTGTTTGCATCTTTTCTTTCTTAAATTCATGCCAAAACAATTCATGATCTGAAAATATATTTTTCTTTATAATGAAAATAAAGTGATATAAGTAAATCATGTTTATTTAATATACTGTTATAAAGACTAAAAATAAAAAAAAAGCATTGTTAATAATACATGTGATCCATCTAGAATATTATCCATCATGACAGAGACGTGGAAATATGGTATATGATTGTTGTGCTACATTGGCACATGGTAGATTATACATCGACTTAAAATCACGTTGACAATCTGTCTGAGATTTCAGACAAATGAAACAGAACGTATGGCCACATTTACATTTATGATACTTGCATTTTTGATCATATGAACCACATTCAAAACACTTTGGACAGCATCGTCGATTAGGTACTTGCATATTCTTATTATATTCTAGTGTGATCAATTGATAAGTAATCTTTGTTTCCCAAAAGCAGTTGACTTTGCACGTATATTTTTCATTACGCATTTTCTTCTCTTTTTCATCCCAATCAGAATTACAAAAAAAACATAACCATCGTTGACAATTGGGACATTTTTGTTTTGCATACATAGTACTATTAACACAAAATGCACCACATGTACATATTTGAAAATCAATATTTCGTGCCATTAGTGTTGTTTCGTCTAGTTGAACAAGTGATTGGATGAATTGTGGTGTTTTAAAAAACTTTTCTGGCGCTAATACTTCGTTACAAGTCAAACACGTAAGTTTATAATCATAATGAATGAAGTAATTTGGGAAACATTCTTTACAAATAATTGAATTGCAACAAAATTTAAGGCACTTTTTTTCTTCCGTGCAAATCATACAATCTGAATTATTTGGTTGTGTTGGAATTTTACGTAATTCATCTTGAAGATCAACTAGAATAGTGGCCTTGTGTGAGTCTATATCGACCATACCTGATCCACCATCCATTCGTTGGCAAACATAAATGACTGTATTATTTTTGATATCTTTTTTTAATTCAGCAAATTTCGCTGGGTCATTATCTTGTATTTCTTTTCCATTAACAACAAGTCGAAAATTATCAGAACCAAATTTATCTTTAACTAATTGTTTAATATCATTCACAGTATACCCTTCTTTAAGTTGACCAGAATGCTTACTACCTTTCATTGTAGAAAATAAAACGTTAATAATTGACATAGTTTATGTTTGAATCTATTGAATAAGAGAGAAAGACGAAACTTGTATTATCTATATTGAAGATACACGATTATATAAATATGAACAATGTTAGAAACTTACTTGAAGTTTATAGTTGATGTAGAGAAATAAATGTAAAGAAACTTAATGTCTGTTTATGTATATATCATTGCTTTTTATATATGGCACCATTCTGTTCCCAGTTAGAAATTTCCAATTTTTTATTAAGCCATACTCGTCTGGGTTTTTTTTCCAACGTCATTTTAAAAATAACTTCAATTTTATCTTTCCTTTTGTTTCGTACATACATCTTTAACATTCTTTTTTACAGAAAAGAACAGGAAAGAAAGATTTTTTTCATATTATTATTCTTGACTCATTTATTGCACAACCAAGTTGGTAAAAATTCAAATCTTACCATCAAATATATTAAAATACTCATTACAACTTTTTTTGAAATATCGCCAAAAATAAAAGATATAAAATGATCTACTTAAGTTTGATAAATTTTTAAAGATGAAAAATAGTGTCATTTTTGAAATAAAATTTTACAACAGATCAATGTTTTAAACTCGATAAGTTTATCTTAAAACACATCATTATTAATGAGATTGTTTACCACATACACATCCGCATTTACATTCTCAGAAGGGGTTCATATAAATTTACAAATACGGTAGAAGTCATAAACGATAAGTATATGTTTGATGTATAGTAATAAATGCAAGATGTGAATGATATTAGAAGAGAAATACATTTTTCTTTTTATTTTATATATTATTTAATTCATAATCTTACAGGAAGTTATATGAAATATTTTCTACCTTTTTTTAATAATTATTTAAATGAATAAAAATAAAAATTGAAAATGTCCCTCATCATTTTCAAAACAATTTTATTTTAGTTTCATCAATCAGCGATCTCTATTGTTTGTTTATAATAAAATTTAATTTAATTGGTTGCTTCCATAAAACTATTTTTGTGTTTTTCGTGTATAGTTAAGGGTGTCTACATCTATCAGTACACTTGTTGTCGTTGTCGACCGCAGATAAACAAACATTTTAACATTAAAATACGAAAAATCATTTAAAGGACAAAATACTAATACTAAGTTATTTTTTTCTAGATCGATTGATATGGGTGGCCCAACTGGAGTACCGCAAAAACCATCTGCAACTGCCAAAGATGTTATACTTGATTTTCTTGCTGGTGGAACAGGTTTGTTTTTCTCTTCATATTCTTTAAATTTATTCTTTATTATTTTTGTTTTTTGTTTTTTTATTTTAGCTGTATGTATATTATAATCAAAACTTATTTTATTGATAAAAATATGAATTATTCTAGGGAGCTATTTCCAAAACAGCCGTTGCACCACTTGAACGTGTAAAATTACTTCTTCAAACACAAGATGTCAATCAAAAAATTGCACAAGGACAAAAATATAAAGGATTTGCTGATTGTTTCGCACGATGTATTAAAGAAGAAGGAGCTGTATCATTGTGGCGTGGAAATTGGGCCAATGTATTGCGTTATTTTCCAACGGTAATTTAATTTAATTCTAATAAATCTAAAACATTTATTTATTTCATTTTTATTTAGCAAGCCTTAAATTTTGCTTTTAAAGAACGTTATCAACGAATGTTTGCTAATTATAACCCAGCTTTAAATCCATATAAATTTTTCGCTGGTAATTTATTTGCTGGTGGTATGGCTGGTGCAACTGGATTAACATTTGTCTATCCACTTGATTTTGCTCGTACACGTCTTGGTGTTGATATTGGCAAATCAGTTAGTGATCGACAATTTAAAGGCATGAATGATTGTCTTGTTAAAATCTATAAAGCCGATGGCATACAAGGTTAAAATTTTTTCTTTTTCGTTTCTTGAATTTAAATTTATAATTATATTATTTTTTAGGTCTCTATCGAGGTTTTGCAATAAGTGTTGCTGGTATTTTTGTCTATCGAGCATTTTATTTTGGTGGCTATGATGCAGGAAAGAAATTTATATTCGGCGACAATCCAAATCCGAGCATTCTTTATCGTTTCCTCTTTGCACAATTTGTTACATCGTCATCAGAATTTCTTGCTTATCCACTTGATACTATTCGACGGTATATTTCAATATGAAAAACCTTTTTTTTGAAAAATAAATTTCTTCATTTTAGACGTTTGATGATGCAAAGTGGTCGTGGTGATGTTATTTATAGCGGAACACTTGATTGTGGTCGAAAGATTGCTAAAAATGAAGGTTTAACTGCCTTTTTCAAGGGCAATTTATCCAATATGTATCGTAGTGTTGGTTCATCGCTTGTTCTCGTTCTCTATGATGAATTCAAACGATATTTAGTCCTTAGTGGACAATCATCTTCTGCCAAATGATAAATTTCTTCATAGAGGCAAAAAAAAGGGTGGTGCTTTAGATATAGGTGTTTTTTCTGTCTTGTCGCGTCTTTTTCTTTTTATTCCAACGGTTTTTTTGCGATCTGAATGATATATCCTTCGTTTCATTCATCCTGATTTTTCTATGTGTCTCGAAATAACAGTGAATTCAATCCATCATTTACATTCCGATTTATTTCGAACACGACAAAGTTTTTTTTTGTATAATAGATGTTTGAAAACAAGGCAACAAGAAAAATGAAACATCCACTCTTTTTTTTGTGTCCTATCCATTTATATTCCATAATAAAACAACTTAAAAAAAAATTAGATAAATAATCAATTTTAACGAAATAAAATATGGCATAAATTGTTTTAAAATTTATATATTTTACAAAAGAAAACTAATCATAAGTTGACGGAGTAAGAAAGACTCTGTCTATTGGTACGTATACTATTTAATCCATTGACATAGGGTTAACGAGTGAACTTTGACCTCATTAAATCGTTATCGAAGTTAAAATGACGTAGAATCCAGTTAAGATAACACAATTTGATGGCTTTAAGTGCAAAAGAGTCTTATTTACAAATCTACCTGTCTTTTGTTATGATATTAAAAATGTCTGTGAAATTTAAAGATAATCAATATATTTGTCTTTTCTTTCTACAAACACGGTATGCTCGTTGTAATTTGCTTATTGATAATGTATCTGAGAATCAAAGATCAAAATTTCTGTAGTCTTGCAATATAATAGTTATTGTTGCATAGTTTATCCAAGTACTCAACACGAAGAAATACATCAAACAATGGATAATCATTATACTTCGCTTTTTTGAACTATTATTTCCTATTATCTCAAATATTCAACATACAATAAAGCAAAAACATCATAGTTCAAAATTTAATCATTTTTCATAAAGGAAATCTATACTGTTGCTTTCTTTCTAATAAAATACGTAAACATACTATCGAATTTTTATTTTAAAGTAAATTTTCTACAAAAGGTTAAATGATAAAAAGATAGGATTATTCTTTTGTTTCTTTTATAAAATGACATTGAACTTGAGATTGACATTTATTTTCTAATTATTTGTAACAAGTAAAGGTTTTCTTTTTCGTTACAATTGCATCACATCATCAAATAGAGAACGCAAAACAAAAACGAATGTAAAGTAATAAACAATTATAAAGAAAAAATTGAAATCACTGTAATATTTTTAGTTAAAATATAAAATAAATACAAATTTAGGTTTAACCACCACGTGCAAAGTTATTTAATTTTGTACATGATGGTGTTGTTAATTGTTGCGCTTGATGATATAAACTATTATCATTCATCATTCTTGCTCGCCATAACATTGATTCTTTATGTTGTTGTTCACGATAACATTGATGTTGTAAATCAGTTATATATTCATCAATAACAGATGATTCAAATCTATCTAATTCAGCATGTGTATTTGGTGCACGAAAATCTGGTTTAACATAATACTGAATATTTGATATTCGTGTTGAACGTAAATTTGTATATTTTCTAAAAAAGAATATTTAGAAAAAAATATTGATAAATATATATGTATATTTATACCCTGTACGATGTAATTGAAATTGCGGTTCGCTTACTAAAAATGTTCCAATAATTGAAATAAGAAATAAAAATAGATAAGGTAATAATTGAGTTAATGTATGCATTGTCTAAAATATTAAGAAAAGAATTTTTCTTGGACAAGAATTATATAAATAAACATACATTTTGTGGTGAATTAGTTGTAAAATGAAATGTATTTGGATGTTGACGACGTCGACGTGTACGATTTGATACGCCTAATTAATTACAAGTTTTTATTTATTTTTAGAATAATATATATATATGTATATCATACCGGAATGACCAAAGAAAATATTAAATATTTCTTCAGCTGAAAAATCATCATCTTCGTCAGTATAATAATTCTGTCCACAACGTTGACCACCAGTACTACCCCGATGATATTGTGGTTCCATTGCTTGGCCATATCGATCATAATCTTCGCGTTTTTTTGGATCATTTAATATTGAAAAGGCTTTACCAATTGCTATAAGAGATTTTTAAGAAAATATTTATTTTTTTATAAATAGATAACCTTTAAAAGCTTCAGTAGCACCCGGTGCTTTACATTTATCTGGATGGAACTAAATAAAAAAGAACAAATAACCTTTTTTTAAAACAAAGATGAAATTATTCAATAGACAACTTACTTGAAGAGCTAATTTTCTGTAAGCTTTTTTTAAATCAGCTTCAGATGCTGTTTTACTAACACCAAGAATTTCATATAAATTTTTACATGTTTTGATTCTAAAATTGAAAAAAAAAGAATTAATACGAACGATCAAATAAAATCGGTAATAGATAGTTTAATAAGTAAATATTAGATCTCTTCATCTATACATTTTTCTTATTTACTACACTTAGCGATTAGTTATTTCATGCTATATGCTTCTTTGATATTGAAAAAAAATAATAATTGACTCACCAATACATTTCCTAAGCAAATGAAAAGTGAATCAATATTACAAGTTCGGAAACTTTCAATTATTCTTCTATAATACGAGATCAAAACTTATGAATTTCATATCTAATCACAAGACTAGAGAATCAATATTTATATATATACTCACTTCCGTACAGCTTCAACTTCTTCAGAGGTATAATCATTAGTAGATGTTGATGTTGTTCTATGTCTGGTATGTGACGAAGTTCCGTTTGTTGTTGTATGGTCATGCTGTGAAGATGATGTAGTCGATTCATGAGTTTTATTCTGATTTGTTGAATGAGAAGTGGCATCTTTTATTCGTTTGAGAAGATCTATAATAAATAGAACTTAGACAAACAATGATTAGAAAAATAATGAAAAGTACCTTCTGCTTTCTCTGTTGGAAAAAGATCTTTCGATTTATTTATAAATCGTATAGCTCGACTATGATCATTTACAAGAATTGCTTTTTCAGCAAGTTCTAAATAATGTAAAGCAGCGTCTTTATTTGCTTCCATTTGGTAATATAAAAATACTGCAGTTAAATATTATAGATGAATAAAAATATTGTAAATTAGATCATAATATATACAAGCCAAATAGAAGAAAAACAATACGAATAAATCAAATTTGATCCAGTAATAAATCTGCAGAATAGATAAAATGTTCAATCTATTGAAGAAGATAGAAAAAATTATAATTTAATAATATAAAAGAAACAAAATAGACAAGTAACTGTGTAATTGATAAAGTAAAGCGTTAACGTAAAAAAACGACAATCATCATTTTTCTTTATACATGACAAATAAATAAAAAAGAAGTCGCTTCTGTATATAATTGGATTAATGCGTAACCAATCTATATTGGTTGTGACATGGCAAACGATAGATATCACTATTTGACAGAATAGAAAAAATATCGATAAATTTAAGTAAAACCATGAATAAAAGATTCTTTTTTCTTCTGCACTTTGTCAATTCTTTTTCTTTTGAATTAGACTTTCAAATGCATAAAAGACATTTATTTTTTATTAGTTATATATATGTATGAACATTGTATTATAGAATGAAGCCAATGAAAAAAAATTACTGAATTCATAATAATTCAACATATAAGAATTATTTGCAAAAAAAAAGAAATTTCAATGGGCAACAAGACAGTTACTCCTTTAGCTACTAATAATAATCCTAACACATTTGATTTTGCATATAATTCTGAAAATTCTCGTGTTCATTCTAAATCTCCTACTCCAAATATGTCGAATGATCCTCTTATTTCGACGCCCGTAACTAATCTTGACACATCTGCTCCTCTCATAAAATCCCCAATTCCTTCCACTGCTACTATCCCTCGCACATCGGTTTCTCATGTTCCTACGAAGCCTCGTACACCTAGTATTCCTAATAGCCCGGTTCACATTTCTTTACCTGTAACGAATCTTGATACTTTTACTCATCCTCCTCAGTTTGATAACACTGTCAAACACACATCCTTCTATGTACTCAACACTCAAGCCTCTCCAGCTCCTACAGAATCTCATGCACCTAGTCTTTGTTCGCCCGTAACAAATCTCGATACTTTTACACATCCTCCTCAGTTTGATAACACTGTCAAACGCACATCCGTCTACGTACTTAACACTCAAACCTCTCCTGTTCCTACAGAGCCTCGTGCACCTAGTATTTCTTCACCCGTAACAAATCTTGATACTTTTACTCATCCTCCTCAATTTGATAACACTGTCAAACACACATCCTTCTTCGTACTCAACACTCAAACTTCTCCTGTTCCCAAAGAGCCTCATGCAACTAGTATTTCTTCACCTGTAACGAATCTCGATACTCTTACTCCTCCGCCGTATACTAACACTGTCATACGTACATCTGTCTATGTACTAAATACTCAAACTTCTCCTGTTCCTACAGAGCCTCATGCACCTAATATTTCTGCACCCGTAACTAATCTTGATACTTTTACTCCTCCTCAGTATACTAACATTGTCAAACGCACATCCGTCTATGTACTCAACACTCAAGCCTCTCGTGTTTCTATGAGGCCTTCTACTCCTATTATTTCTACACCAGGAAAGACTCTAGAAACTTCTCCTATAAACTCTCCTATTCCCACTATTTCTGGTAATTCTATTACTTCAACATCACCAACTAATATCCATAATAATACTGCTCCGCAAAAATCACCTATGGCTCCTAACACTTTGATTTCTACAGTTCCTACTACTTTAACGACCGTTGATAATTCTGTCATTCGTAAAATTCCTGTAACTTCTCCTGTTCCTAGTATTGATAATATCTATATTGGACCTTATAATTCATCTCCTATACTTAGTCCTGATACTTCAGCTGTTTCTCCTACGTTTGACACACCTCCTTCTCCTATACCTCCTACTATTACTGTGAATCCTGTTAAATCAAATGATACTGAAACAATATCTAAAACTCCTTTTCCCTACAATGGTTTGTATTAAATATAAAGTTACAAATTCTATAGAATTTTAGAACTTATTTTGTTTTAGTTAATGCTAAACGAACACCATCTAATATTTCATTATCATCATCAGCACCAATTTCGGAACAAGTAAAATCTTCCAATTTATCATCTGTGCGACGATGGAATAAAATACAACAAAGACAAAAAGAACATTCTCATACAATTTCACAAACACCAAATTTAGTCACATCGCCATCATCATCATCATCACGAACGAATACAAATGATATTTCAAAAGAAACATCTGCTATTTTAAAAATTATACCTGTACCAAGTTTTTCTTTACGTTCAACAGCTGTATGTAGTTTTTCAATAGATGAACATCTCTTGTCAGAACGAACTCAATCCATACATAAAGATATATCTATATTTAAATATTATCTTACTCAAAAAGAAATAAAACGAACAGTAAAACAGCTTCATTTGTTTTTTTGATTCATTATTGTTCTAATTATAAATTCTAGCTTGGTAATCATACGAATGCAACTATGTTTCAAATGAATACTCAACTTAAACAAACTCCTTTACCAAATCCATCATTATCATTTTTACATAAAAATTTCAATGATGGCATTCATGAAACAGATGATAATTCATCTGTTACAGCTACATTTAGTTCTCTTGGTCTACAGAATGATCTCGAAACAGAATCTGTCGATCCATCGACAACAGAATTACATTCAAATGAAAAACAACAACAAAAAGTTCGATTATTGAATATTTTCTATTTAATATTTATCATCAATTCTCTATTGATAGAATTCTTTTCCAGTTGTTTCATCAAATAATTCAACTTCGGAAAAACCCTTAGTATCAATATTGAAAAAACCAATACATCCTCCAATTGAAAAACCTATACCTACACAAATAGACAGTAAAATATTTTATGAAAATTAATATTGTCTAAAAAGATTTTTATCTTTTAGAAAAAAATGATTTTGAAAATTATTCAACCGTATCATTTAATTTCCAAACAACACCAAAAGCTAATGAAAGTATATCAAGAAGTGAAAAATTATTTTCTTCATGATCATCATAATGAAATTCCTAAACTATATTTTATATTTTGTGATGTTCTTTAATAGGACTTTTGTTGATTAATTATTGTATTAGAAAAGATTTTCTAATCTGTAACATGTTCCTAAAATGATATTAGTTATCATTTTACGTCTTTTATTTTTAAAGAAAACGAGATATTGTGTATAAAAATGAGATAAATAGAAGAACACTTATAAGCTAACAACATGTATGTCACCGATTAAAAAACGACAGAAAAAAAAGCAGATACTAACTATGAAGAGAGACGTCAACAGTTTTGGCACAACGGAATGTGATATATCAGAAAAGAAAAAAAACTATCAAATTAAAATTCTTCATGTTCTTGATGCATTGTAGCTGTTGCAATTCTTTCATCACATGCTGATGGTGTTTCAAATATCATAGAATATTCGCATCGTGTTGGTTCTCGTACATCAATCGGTTTATGTTCAGTTCCACATTGAAATGTAACTGTTAATGAACGAGCTGGACCATTCCAACATGTAGCACCATTTGCATATTTCATTTTTAAATATTTATTATTTTCTGGTCCAGTCCAGCCTTCCCAATATCCAATTGTTACATCACTACCACCACCTTTTGATATTTGTTTTGCATCTTTAAACATACAGATTCGATATGTATATTCACGTTCTTCATAATCATAACATTGATCAATAAATGCCGAATATTCACCATGAGGTCCTGTATCAACGTCAGATTGTCGTTTTAAATCACTAGGAAAAAAAACAATTAAGAAATAGACTATACATTAGAATAACTAACTCAATCTGTCGTTTAATATCCTGAACTCGTCCTTCAACTTCATTATATTCATTTCGAGCATGATCAGCTAATTGAATTAATTTTTTTGTTTCATCATCATATTCTGGTACTGTATCGTCATGAATATGTTTTTCATGTTCAAGTGACTAAAAACAAGAAGAAAAATTTTCATTCAAAATTTCTTTTTCTATATTATCTTACTGTTGCAACTGGTGTTGTTATATCATGTTGTTCCTCTTCATGTTCATATTCATCTTCACCAGCAGATGTTTCTTCATCAGCTTCCGCTTGTATTTGATCTAATTGTGCTTCTGTTGTTGCAGCTACATCAGCATGATCAACAGGAGTTTCGGACGATTGTTCTGATAATTTTTTATATGAATTTGATATTTGATCAAATACAGTAACATTAAATTCATCGAAATTTACCGAATCAGCACCAAGAATTAACTAAAAGAATAAAATCAGTATATAATTCATACAATAAAATTTTCTAGATTACATACTCGAACTTCTTCAACTGTAAATTCATTTTCATGATCACTATCAAGTTCTGTATGTTTTTGTAATTCTTCAATTGATACCCTATTAGGAAAAGAACTATTAAAAGGAATTTAAAGTTTTATATATTTACAAAGAATCATTATTAGCATCCAATTCAGCAAACATTTCATGCATTTGATTATCACGTGCAATAGCTTCACGTACAGCACGTTGTTCTTCCCATAATTTTTGATGTTTATCTTTAGCTTCGTTTTCAGGAGCTTCAGCTTGTTGTTTTAATTCTAATCAAAAAGAATATTTTTATTTGTATAATTTGAATTTTGGATTTTACCTTCTTTTCCTTTTAATTCATCTTCAACTTTTTGTAAACCTTCTTCAAGTTCACGGAGACGTGCCTAAGATAATAAATATTTACATGAAAAAATTTATAAAAGATTTTCTCTTTATATTTACTTCTCGATCAGATTTAATAAGTACTGATTTAGAAATAATTTCTAATTTTTTAGCTACACCTGCGGCATGTAATGCTCGTCGTGCTTCACGTTCAGCACGAGTTTTTTGAGCCAATTCACTAAAGATAAAATAAAAATATATCATTCAAAATATAGTTTATAAAATAACTTACAAACATGTATTATTACAAACAATTTTTGTTTCATATTCATCAGTTCCATCACAACAATCTAATTGAATAACAAAAAAAAAAGGTAAGGACTCAGTTTGTAATGAATCACTTACCACATACACCATCTCCAACAAAATGTGAAGGTATTATTGTTCCAATATAGCCTTTATTTTCACAAAAAAATCGTCCATTTGGACAAGCAGATGTTCCTGGTTCATCACTACCATCTGAATTAGATTTAAAATAAAATAAATATTTGAAGTGACATTTTTTTTACCTCGACAATCACAATAATCGTCGTTTACAAATTCAAATGGTATAGTCGATGAACCATCAAGACAAAGAAATGTTTTTGCTAAAGTATATTTAGGTAGTACTAAATTTAACCAAAAACAAAAATTTATTCAATCTATTTTAAACAATAATAGTTACATGAAGTTGGTATACCACGTAATACTGTCTGTTCAATATTGCCACTAAAAACTATTGTAAATAGACTTGAAATTAAAATGAGATTCATATATGTTGAATACATCATCGAAGCGAAGTGAAGGAGAAATGGTAAATAGATGGATATCTAACATCTGTTCTGTTGAAATTCTATTGGTTGTTTATTTAAACAAATGAGTTTATTCATTTGAAAGTAGATGGTATTACTATAGTAACCTACGGTATTCAGAAAAATGCTGTGTAGTTACTAAAATTGACCTACTTTTTGTTATGTTTTTAACTTTAACAAACATTGTGAAATATTACTATAGAATTCTTTAAATACAAGCAACTGCAGGTAAGACAAATATAAATTTACACTGCATTCTTTTACCTTACTTTAGACTGTATTACCTGAAAGATCTAGTGTAATAGCATTTTAAGCCATATTAATGAGTTGTATAGGTAAATTCAGAACCCCTCTTTACCTTTGATGATGGTAATGTTTTGTGAGCTATTTTTGAATAATTTTAAGAGACTTAGTTTAGCATACGATAAAAGAAATATATAATCTAATTTTTTTTAGGATGAAATCTGCATATTATTTGGATGTTTTACGTGGGCGATGTCAAGAATTACCTGATGTACGATCAAAAATTGTACGAGTTTTTGTTAGTTCAACATTTACAGATACATTAGCTGAACGAGATTCTTTGATTGAAAATATATTTCCTAAACTTAAAGATTATTGTCGGCAACAATATGGATTAGAATTTCAAGTTTGTTATATTAATTCTAACTATACAACAAAATATTTGATTTTTGTTTTCTTGAATAAAGTATGCTGATATGCGTTGGGGAATTCAAACGGAATCTGCTAATAATCATGGAGAAGTTGCAACATGTTTAAAAGAAATTGAATTATGTAAAAAATATTCTGTGGCAACTAATTTTGTAGTGTTACTTAGTCATCGTTATGGTTCACGACCAATACCAGCCCAAATTCGTGCATCACTTTTTGAATTATTAAAAGATACTGTTGTTAATGAATTAAATGAACTTAAAGATGGTGATTTATTAACAGAATGGTATAAATTAGATACCAATTGTATGCCACCTGCATATATTTTACAAAATATTTCATCAATTTTACCGAATTTTTTATCAAAAGTAAAAACTAATCATTATCATCTTGTTTGTTTGTTTGTTTTATTTTTGTTTATAGAATACAGATGAAATAAAACAAGCAGATAAAGAATGGAAAAAGATTAGTAATCGATTAAGAATAAGTCTTCGACAAGCAGCAGAATTATGTCTTCAACGAGAACAAATTACTGAAAGTGACTATGATGAATTTTTTATATCAAGTATGTTTCATATATATTGATTGATTGATTTATATAAAATAATATTTTAGTTACGGAAAAGGAAATTATCAATGGTATCCTATCAGCAAAAGATGCAAATGAACGTACATTATGTTTTTTACGTGAAATTGTTGATATTCGAGATCATTTATCCGATGAAAAAGCATCAAAATATATCGATATGTCATCATCAACAGATATTGATAATGAAGCAGAAAAATTACTTAATCGTTTAAAAACTACACGTATTCCTGCTGCATTACAATCTTCAAATATATTTCAATATCAAGTTCATTGGTCATCAAATGGAATAACTCGACAAAATCATGTAGAATATCTCGAAAAATTTAATAATGATTTTTATCAAGCAATGCAAAATCAAATAGATAAATGTGTACAATCACGTTTTACACATGATTCGAATAGTTTACAACATGAAGTATTAGAACATGCAATACAATGTAAAACATATGTTACAAAATTTCATGGAAGAACGGATGTTTTATCTAAGGTATTTTAAGATGGAATTAATAGAAATTATATATTGATTTTTTTTTAGTTGGAAAAATATGTAAAATCAAAAGAAGAACATCGACCATGTGTTGTATATGGTCATTCAGGATGTGGAAAAACTAGTGTATTAGCTAAAACGGCGACAGAAGTAAGTTAATTTCATTTTGATTAAAGTCTTAGTTTAATTTTAATTTAATTTAAGGTATTCAAATGGTGGTCACGTCGATCTGTTTCAGTTATTTTACGTTTTCTTGGGTAAGTCAAATATAAGTAAAGAGAAAGATTAGAAATAATATTTGTTGTAGAACTACACCAACATCTTCTACTATTTATAAAACTTTATTATCTATATCTGAACAAATAAGTGAATTATATCATATACCTATGAATTCATATCCAACTGTGAATCAACTTCGTGATCAACTTGAAACATATCTTCTTTCGGAAATTCCTGCTAATGAATATCTTGTTATATTACTTGATTCTATTGATCAATTACAAACTGATGCATATGATTGTAAATGGTTACCATTCTACTTTCCATCAAATGTTAAATGTATTTTATCAACATTACCCGATCATGGAGATATATTGAAACGTTTACAATTGATTTTGAAAGAAGATGAAAATTTATTTATAAATGTTCCACCATTTGAACCAGCAACAGTTGAACTTGTTTATAATGATTGGCTTAAAATGAAAAATCGTTCATTAAGTTCTGAACAACGTTTATTTATAAATAATTTAATGACAGAAAGAAGTGAAATTCTTCCTTTATTTATGAAACTTTTTTTTGATATAATATCAACATGGCATTCTTATGATCCAATTGATGAAAACTTAACTGATTTAAAAGAAGTTGATGATTGTATACGTTATTTATTTCAACGATTACAAATTATACATAATACAGTTTTATTTAGTCGAGCATTATGTTATATGACAGCGTGTCGAAGTGGAATTAGTCAAAATGAATTAGAAGATGTTCTTTCACTTGATGATGATGTACTTAAAAGTGTTTTTCAACATTATATACCACCTGTTCGACGTTTACCTGGTATATTATGGACAAGAATTCGAAATGATTTAGATGAATACATAACTGAAAAAGAAGTTGATGATGCACCTGTTATTTATTGGTATGGATTTTATTTTTAACATTTTCTAACAAGATTTTTAAAGAGAGTCCTGTAGGAGAAGAGTAGTCCATACCTATACATCCACACCCTTATTACATATGTATTACTAATATGATAATTATTTATTTTTAGGTATCATCGTCGATTTATTGAAGTAGCTCGTCAATTGTATGTATCAGATTTAACCAAAGAAGACCAAAAAATAGTTTTTCAAAATCTTATTGATCTATTTAAAGAAACATGGAAAGGAAAAAATAAACCATTCAAAATCGATGATCCTAAATTAGTGCAAAAATATAAATTAGATCAATCTGATGGTGAAATACAAGCGAATCGTTTTACAACATCACAACCGATAGAATTTATTGATGTTGATGGTCGAATACAATATAATAAACGAAAACTCAATGAATTACCTCAATTTCTTGACAAACTAACAGTTGATATTGCAGTTCCAGTTGCAGCTGAAGAAATATTATTTAATTATTCATTTATGCGTATGTTTATTATTTTCAGTAAGAAATTTAATTAGATATTTTTCGTCTTCTAGATGCTAAATTCAGTTGTTCACCATTTCTTGATATTCAAAACGAGATTAAGTTATTTGAACAGAAATCATCATATCAAGCAGCCACGATAGTTGGTGAAATTCAAAAAGAAATAGCAGTTCTTAGTATGATTTATTTATTATGTGGTCATTTACTTAATGAATATCCAGATAATTATGCATTTGAAATAACATCACGTTTAGGTATATTATATAGTATGAAACCAAATATTACAAATTTAATAAAACAATGTGATGAACAAAGTCCACGTCATTGTGCACTTATTGTACCTTATTGTCAAACACAACCACCAGGAAATGGTTTAGTATATGCAATGAATAAACATACAATGCCAGTTGTTGATCTTGATTTTACAGAGAAGCAAATGGCAGCTATATCATTATCAAATAAAATAATTGTTATTAATATGCAAACAGGTAATACGGCAGTTGATATACAATTACCTAAGTTAAATGAATCATATTTAAATGCAACAACAATACCAAATATGATTATGAATTCTACGAATCAAGAAGAAGATATGATCGATAATGATAGTGATGATGCGAATTCAGATGATGGAGAAGAAGATAAATTTAAACGATATATGTTCTGTGTTAATTCATCTCATCATGTTTATTTTATATCTAGCCATGGTGATATTAAATTTCATAAAACTTCACCAAAAGGATATTCAACTGTTGAAATAATTCATAAGAAACGTGGTTTATGTCTTCTTGTTGAACATAATTCTAATTCTGTTGAATGTTGGGATCTTGGACAAGACAAATTATTTTCAAAAATTGATTTATTATCAGATGTATCAATTAAAAAAGTATTAAGTTCAAAAATATCATCATCATTAATACTAATTATTATTATTCTTTGTGATGGAACAATCCTCTTTTATAATTTTGAAGCATTAAAATTCAATCATTGTGGTACAATTAATGCTGGTAAACATTTAGATTTAGTTATTGTTAACGGCGATAAATTAATTTGTACATTTGACTCAACAATTCCAATTGATTTTACTTATATTGATTTACGTGCACTTAGTCAGACAAAAACAGTGTTATCTGATAAAGAAATGGTTAAAACATTAATTGCTTTTAATCCACCTATTACTCCTAAACCATTTGTAAAAATTATATTACCCGAACAAGGCAAGTCTACATCGGCTGCAGACGCATCATTATTATTCATGATTTTAACAAAAGAATCTCTATGTATTGTGCATAATTGTATGAAAAAAGATATATCTTATGCACGTATTCCTGGTCAATTTGATTTAGTGTCGACAACTATTGAACATTCAAACTCTATATATGTTGCACGACGTGGTATTATTGATATGTACAAATGGCGTTGTATCGAAGGAGAAGATGATATACATGGCAAATGCAAGATTCATCATGGTTATCAATTATTTGTTTCTATTGATATCAGTTCATGTTCAGTACTTACTATAAAACCAGCAGATGATTCAGGTAATCATATATTATAAAAGAAAATGAAAATCATATTCTTTATTTTTATTTCTAATAGGAAGTATGTTTTTATGTTCAATGGAAAATGGTGCTATAAATGCATATAATAGTCAAGTAGCACGAGAGGCTTTTAAAAAAATTCCACCGTTTCCACGTACAACAGAATTGATAAATACAATTCAATTATCTGGAAAACATGCTGTCACTCTTAGTGTATCAGAACAGTAAGTCCAAATGCCTTTTGGGTGTGGAAGAAAAGTAGGCCATACTATGAATATATTTTTTCTATATAGAGAACTAACAACATGGTTATATCAACATCAAACAGCAATTGAATCAACACAGGTTTTTTCTAATCCGATTAAAATTGATTACTATGCTGTTTTATCTGATACGGCTGTACTTATAATTACAAATACATATTGGGCTGAAATCTATTCAATGGAATCATTGAATAAACAAACACTTTTTCGTCTTCATCTTCGCCACCCAACACGAGTCTTTATTATTGATGAAGAAGTTTTTATTTTACTTACAAATGATGGATCAATTCGTTTTATTACTCGGCAAATAAATAAAAATAACGTCAAATTTAATCAAACATCCAATAAACAACTAAATATACAATGTAAATATCTATTTAGTTCAATTATAACACTGAATTCAAAACAATCTCTTATTGTACTTGCTGATGATGGACATTCATTAGCAATTTGTACATTAAATGATATTATTTATATGAATATTGATTTTACACAACATTCCTCATCACGTTTATTAAATTTTACAAGTGATGAATCACAAGAATTTTTATTATTTTATTTTGAAGATAAATCTCTTATTTCATGTCGAATTCAATTAACAAACAAACATTCTTATGAATTAACATCTTTTAATAAAGCTGATATGTATTATTTAAAAAATACTTGTTTAGCTACAATTATTAATGGTAAAAATGAATTATTTTTACATAATATTCATTTGCATACTTCTTCTCATGAGCCAATTCAACTTGAAAATGAATGTGAACAATTATGTATTAATAAATCAGGAGATTATGTATTTGTTCTTGTTAAACCTCGAATTTTATGTATGTATCGAGTAAAAGATCGACGTCAATTAGCAAGATTATTTGTTTATGATCATGTAACAACAATGACTGCTTGTAATGATTTTATTATTTTAGCAATGAATGATCGACGTTTATTAACATTAATGATTGCTGATCCAGATGATACAATGTTACAATCAAAAATTCAGGCACTACCAAGCAGGTAGAAAGAAAATTATTTATCAAATATTTATTATGTTTATTTTTTTTACATATTAGATCTCTTCAACGAGATAGTAATTCAGCTGCACAAAAAGTTATGAAACAAATCGAAGCATATCAAGATATGAGCTCAGATGATTATGATAGTGACCTGAATGAGAACGATGATAATATAAATAGTGTAAAAAAGACTCCTCAACCAATTACTTCATATCGTTATGTTCATCGTCTTAATGGAAAATTTTCATCATCAAAAATGAAAACAGATGAATCATATAGAACATACTTTTTGGCAAATTATATCGATAGATCTGACGAGCCTGATACAACCAATATTATGGTTGATGATTCTGATAGTGATGATAATGATGATGTTATTACTGAAACTCCACCACAAGTAGAAAATACTCCTATCAAACAGGAACATAATCTCGATGATATACATGAAAAAACTATGGAACATGATCGACAACAAATAAAAGGCATTCAATTAGCTAATGTAGGAGTTAATAATCCTAAAATAATCAATGATTATTCCGTAACATCAAATACATGCATACTTTTGTGATATTTTTCTTATATAGTACAATTCATATATAAATCTCATATATTATATTCATATTTAACTATTTTTTGTTATCTTTTTATTCTCATGCATAAGATCGAGATTTTATTTTTAAATAAAAATAAATAAATAATGATCATAACTCTAAATAATATTCAATACGACAACTTGACAAGCTATTGCAATTACAATATGAGAGTAAAGAAAAAGTCTTTTCTCATGTAAAACTACTTATCGCCTAGATGAAAGTGAGTTGAATATGCCGTTATTTGAAGACATATTATTACTAATAACAGATATGTATAAACACCATTTGGAACAAAATTAATTACATTACATGAAAAATAATAATAAAAATATTAACGATATGAAATTAACTGTAAATATTTTATAATACTATCCGACTTTTCAAAGAAGGTGTGTGGAAGAAAAACTTATAACTTTTGAATGGAAAGTCATACTGACCTGCGGCTTTCAGGGTTCAGTATACGACAGTCAGGAGCGCATGACAATGTGAGAAAATAGTCTTCGGAAGCACTTTTTTCGATCAATTTTAGTCTACGAAATTTGGGTATGTGTGAATGTGGGAGTAGCTGGATACTGGTGTAGACTCTGATAAAGATTCACACCCACCTCACTCTCAAGAAAACTCATTCCGAAAATCACCATGGTGAACAAGTTATAAAATCCTAACTATTTCTACTTTTGGAATAAAAAGTTTTATGGTGAGCAGGTCTTAGGAGGATATATGCGTGTAAAAAATTTCACTTCAACCTGTTCAGTCGTTCCCAAGAAATTGTCCGATTTGGACCCTCGTTTGTCAGTTTTGTCATATGTGGGGTATTTCGTAAAGTGCTTATAAAGCAGTGAGGATTCAATATTTTTTGAAACGACTTGCGCAAAAAAACTCAGGATTCTTCTCTCTACAACGTATTGTAAAATGAATAAAATTAGACGACCTCGATTGAGCAAGTTATATGTATTTCGATCGTAGCTTACATGGAGTGGCTTGTATACTATTCTTCATCATTCGAGGTCTTGTTCAATACAATAATAAAGACAAGTTAAACAAAGTAAATTATTCTTTTCTTATGTTTTTCTGATTTGTTTTCTTTTCTAGATTCATTTTCAACATGTTTATTACAATGATAACTGACGATTTCAGGTGTTATATATTTTTTTTAACTTATAGAGGATATTCTGGTATTTAATGTTAAAAACGTAAACAATTATGTCTGTGTGTTTTCTTACCGGTAGGCTATGTCTATTGCGTTTCTTTGACTTACAGAGATGTTCTTCGTAAGCGCGCGCGAGTAAGTAAAAAAATACAATTATATATTCTCTTGTGTAAAGAAAATATTTATTTATTTATATATTCAGAACAACAATTATAACTCTTCTTTTACGACATCAATGCTCTGTTTCACAGTTTTAAGATTGGGATGACTTGGTGGTAATGAAACTTTCAAAATGTCAAGAGCACGTTCAAAATATGAGAGTGCTTTCGAATATTCTTTCATGTTATAATATATACTACCAATGTTGTTGTAGGACTTAGCCAAGTCAGGATGATCTGCAGGAAGAGTTTTTTCTTCAATTTCGAGTGCTTTTTCATAAAGTGAAAGTGCTTTCGAGTAGTCTCCCATTTGGTTATACACACTACCAATGTTGTTGTAAGTAGTAGCCAAGTCAGGATGATTGGAAGGGAGAGTTAATTCTTCGATTCCAAGTGCTTCTTCATAAAATGCACGTGCTTTCGAGTACTCTCCCATGTCAACATATACACCACCAATGTTGTTGTAGTAAGTAGCTAACGAAGGATGATTTTCAGGAAGACTTTTTTCTTGAATTCCAACTGCTTTTTCATAAAATGAAAGTGCTTTCGAGTACTCTCCCATGTTATCATACGCTAAACCAATGGTGTTGTAGGACTTAGCCAAGTCAGGATGATTTTCAGGAAGACTTTTTTCTTGAATTCCAACTGCTTTTTCGTAAAACGAAAGTGCTTTTGAGTACTCTTTCATGTTAT